TCCTGCCTATGCAGGGGGTCGGACTCGATGATCTATTGAGGTCCCTTCTGACCCTAGCATCTATGAATCTATAAAGTCTGCAGATAAAATTTGGTAATACTATGGCATGCAATATGGAGGGCTAATTGAAAGGTGGGAGTTAAGATGTTCCTAGTTACAGAATCAACATCATCTACCACCTTGTTCTGACAATAGAGTATAAAGCCAAATACATTTTCCTAATCTATAAATAAAATGACAAAAGTTCCCACTCTCTCAGGAAGTTATGCCCATCAACCTAACCTTACTCAGTGATCTTAGATCCTCCACACTTTAGTAAGCACCGAGACAACCAGAAACCACCAAAGCAGTGCTATGATTTCAGAGGCTTGGAGAGGTAACTGCAGTGATTTCCTGTAACAGCATCAACTGAACATCCAAATTAAAACAACCAAACCAAGAAAACTCAGTGGAACATAATGTGTGAGTAATCCCTCAGACAGGAGGCTCAGAAACCTAGCTGATATTTTCTAGAAGTTTATGGATCTCTGCATGGAGTATTATTTCTCAAACACTGAAAATGGACTTCATTCACCTCAGAATGGAAAGACAAATCAAACAGTAGTTTGAACATCTTGTATAGGATCGGGACATTTGAAAGGACTGTAGAACCTCTTGAGCTGCATGCAGGTTTTGAGTGGGGCAAACTTTTTTTCTAGCTAGCCTGCAAGGGATCTGTAAAATTTGAGAAGCAATCCTCACCCTTTTTCTCTCAGGGATAACTGATGTGGGGAAGGAAAGCATTTCCCAATTCATAGTAAGAAGACCAAACTTATATACAGTAAAATGCATCTGCCATAATCATCATCATCTTCATCATGTAGATTTGTAACCCATGCTTTCCAGAAAAGTTCAGGGATCCTACAAAAAGAGAAGCAACCCAAACAACAGGCCCCCCAAAAGACACCCCAAAGCTTTAAAACTCCATCTAACCCTACCACTGCTGCTTCCTTGACTATTATGTTAACTATGTACACATTCAGAAATACAATTAATGTTAAACAACAGTACCCAAAAGCTACAAGTGCAAGAGAAGCATTGTGCAAGAGCATGAGGTAGTTTAAAAATGCACACAGTTCACATAATCTCACTTCTGTGCTCCAAGTTCCCGAAGACACCAAGTGGTAAGAAGTTCTAAAGTAACAGACAAACTTCAGCTGCATCCCAGATGACCCTCCTGTCCTCCCAACACAACTCACCTTTCCTTTCAGGAACTAAATAATAGATGCTGAAACTTTCTGAATATTTGCAAACTTGCTGTTTTTACTATAGGTGTGCTGTCAGACAGCCCTCTCTGATGCTCCGACAAAGCATTATTATCAAAAGCATAATCTCCAGTCTTCTGGTTTCAAGCACCCTTCCTGACACAGAGTCTCCCTTGTTAATTCTATTTACCTCAAAGGACATCTTCACTAACAATTTTATTTATTTCGTTTGGTATATATGCTGCCCTTGCTAAACAAAGGCTCAGGGTGGCATATAAATAAGGTTAACAAAGCAACCTCCTGGTAGTAGTTCAGAAATATTTTTGTACAATTCCTTTCCTGATTGCAGCGAATCACAGCTCCACTTGGACACCGACTGATGATATAGGCAAGAAGGAACTAGCCTGCCATACACTCTAGAAAAAAAAGTGGCCAAGTGCAAACACTTATCTAAAATACAGCAGAAACTGGAAATCATGACTACAGTAGTCTATTGTACAAGGTGCTGTATAAACATGGCACAGGAAAAATTCCAGACTTTCTGTGAAACTTGAGCCCAACACCTGAACTCAGATATAGAAATGCTGGTCAGACTGAGACCCTAATGACTATGCTTTCCTTAAGCAGCTGACAGCCTAAACTTACTCAACAGTCCTGGATACTTCCCATTACCTTAAAAAGTATCACAAAAAGCCCTCGCTTCTTGCATATTTCTTGGACCATCACAGCTACAAGTACCACTCCAACCCTATTACTCCAAACCCCAAACCACTACTTGGGATTAGAGTATCTCAGAAGCACATGGTACTAGCCTTTCCTATTTACAATTCTGTCCACGTATCAGATGTCTTCAATCTAAACACACCATGGACACTACATTACAGAACTGCTACACAACTCAATCTGACTAGCCATGCTTGCCCCAAAGTCCAGAACTGGAAAGAGTTATGGGTCATTATGAAGTGAATCCAGACAGCCACATGAAGGAAGTTTGCTCACTGTCTGCCATCTCACGTTAGCACTAGCAAGAGCCTGTACAAGCATTGTTGTTCATCCTTCGCAAGCAAAGATAACCACATCCAGTGGGGGAGAAGGGGAGGGGCAAAGAGAGAAAGGAAGCGGGAAAGAAAAAGGGAGGGAGAAAAGAGGAAGGGAGAAACAGAGGAAAAAGGAGAAAGAAGAGAGAGAAGAGCGGGGTGGAGGCTAGCTTGCATGGGTACACAGGTGATTTATAAGCCCAATCTTTGCCCTGAACAATATGCTGCAGCACAGGCAGGACACCGACAAGGACTGGACACAAGAGGTCCTCCTTTTCCTGGCCACGTGCTTCCTCACTGCCTGTGCCATGAGCTGCTGCTCAAAGGCCAGTGCTCCACTCTGGACTGATGACTTCCAGGATGGACGGTCACGAGCAATTTGGTTCCATGACTCCGGGTCAATGCCGAAACTCTTTAGGGACATCTTTAGGGTGTCCTTGTACCACTTGTTTGGTATGCCGCAAAAGCATACTCCATTTGACAGTTCAATGTAGAAGATTTTATTCAGCAGGCGAGTGTTGGGCATTCTTGAAATGTGGCCAGCCCATCTTAGCTGCACCAGTTTCAGTAGGGTGTGGATACTGACCTTTACAAGTAACTCACTCAACACACACACACACCCCCCCATATTAAAGATGCTTCATCTTCTTGAGAGATCTGCTTTAAAAAAATTCCAACAAATGCTATTGTTTAGATAAATCAATTCAGAGGTAGAAAGTCATTACTCATCTTTAATGTGATGGACACTGATGACTAGAAGAGTCCCTTGAAAGAAAAACTGCAGACTAGGCAGAATTCAACTGCAGATACATCTCGCCACTAAAAAGCTAAAGCATCAGAAACAAAGAAAACAGGAATCAGACATCTTAACCATGATTATGCAGCTTAAGCTGTATGTTCAAGTTCAGAATGTACATATGCAAAGCAGTTATAGTTTTGGGATAGCCAGTGCTCAACATTATCACCTCTCATGCCACCCTCAAACACAGGTACTGTGCTTAGTTTGTCAAGAGTAGAAGCCCCAATTCACAACCATCATTTCTGGATATATATGGCAAGTTTTTCAGTTATTTAGGGAGGAAGTGCTATTCCAGCCCTCTTCGTCCCATCAGTCAACTCTTCTCTGGAAACAGTATGAGCAGAAAGCAGTTACTAGTCCCATTCAGTTATGGAACTATTAACTAGATTAGTACTAAGGGCTGTTTTGAATATATGCTCACTTACAGCCAAACAGGATTTCAACAACAGAACTCTACTCTCTTCAATAGACCAAATCTCACAGATGGTATTACAGTCACATCTCCTTCCACTTAGTTGCAGAAAATCCACATGGGAGCTATACCAATTGCTTACACAAATCACTTCAGAAAAAGTCTAAATGTATTTTAGGTAGACGAGGTTCTTTGGGATAGTGATGCAATATCTTTTATTAGACCAACTAAGTAGTTGGAAAAAAGTTTTTTGCAAGCTTTTGGGTGCAATCACCCTTCTTCAGGCATAGGGAGTCTCTGCTGTTCTGAGACTCCAAGAAATGAAAGAAGCTAAGTGTGTCAGGATGTCAGTGAGAATGTAAACAGGTGGAAATTAGGGGGAAAAAAGGGAAAGGGAAAGGGAAAGGGGAGGAGGGAGAAGCCAAAAGGTAAAGGAGACTCTACCATAGTAGATATTCAAGGTCCTTAGACCAACATGGCTACAACCAAAAACCCAGCTAGATGTACTTTGTCATTAGTGCCATAAGTTCTTCTCTACAACCACTACAATTTAACTAACATAAATTTAAAGCCAATTCAGTTAAGCTCACCTAAAACTTTTGTGACTGATAGCATTGAATTAAACCTGGTTTACTCTGATTTAGATTATGACAACTCTTTTCTGGATTAAACAAAAATCAATACAAGTGATTTTAAAATGGATTGAAGGCTTTTCCCAAGAGGAAATGGTGTATTAAGCTACTTTAGTTTTACCAGTATGAGGATACATACTGGGGACAATCTAAGTGTTAATCCTTCTTTTGGGAAAGTTAAATCAGGGTCTCTTTTATTCTTCCTTTCACCTGTAGCCTCCTCCTGTTTTGCTCCTGGCAACTGGAAACAATAAAGAGCAAGCACCATTTGCACAGTCCTTCTCCCTACCACCCATCATAGTTGTCACAGTCAGCAGTCCCTCGATACAAGGATGACAGTCTTCTACTAGATAGGAAAATCATCAGTGAGTCCAGCAATGATTGAAGAGGCCAATCTGAGAAGATATGGCATATAGTTCC